GGGGGGAGCAAATTGAAGGGTACCATGGAGGTGGTGCTGAAGGGCAGAGGGAGGGTCCTCTGGTGAGAGTCCAGGTGAAGTTCTGAGGGGGAGGAGCCTGAGTGGTCTGGGCTCAGGTCCTTCTTGTCTAGGACTCAGTTTCCTGAAATGAACAGCAAGGCATATATATGGGCCACCAAAAGGATTCTTTTAAGACCACTTCCAGCTCTGAGCGGAGGGAGACCGAGAGCGAAGGAAACCCCACAAGTTTGGGCTCGGAGAGGGGTGCACCAAACTGAAGGAGTTACCCCCAGACGCATCCTTTCTTCAGCTGGTACTTGGGGGAGGGGCAGCCTCCTGGGTGAGTTGAGGACATGGTGCCCCGTCCCTCCCCCTTTCTACAGGTCCAGCAAAGTCCTCCCTGACGTAGAGTCCTGCTGTGACCTGGGGGGATAGGAGGGGACTCAGACAATGTGGGCTGGGTCACATCAACAGGCACCTTCATTTGACCCACAGACTCCTCCATCTGTCCCCCCGCACCCACCTTCTCCGGCCAGTCAGGCTCAGCATCTGCCAAGCCTTTGGCACTAGCTAGGCTAGCTTCTCCCCCTACCACCTGGGTGAGTGACAGGGGCCACTGTCTTAAAGGAGCAGGGATGCCCAAACATGGAAAAGGGGGATAAGAGAGGAGGGAGCAGCAGGAGCCAAGGAAAGGAGGCTGACTTTTCGGGCATCTTGACCACTGGGCCATTTAAGGCTGCTCATTTCTACCTGCCCCCTTCCTTCCAAGAGGGGACAGTGAGGCCCACTCAGGCAGGCCTCCAGCCAAGAGCTGCAGAAGATCCCGGTGTTCTCTGGGATCCCTTCCCCCTGGGGTCTCCAGCTTGGCTCAGCCTGGTTTTGTTTGTCAAGAAAAGGCTTAAAGGAAACTAGTCTCTTGGGCCTCTCCAGCCAAGGAATGAGGCTTCTGGGCTGCCCTGGGAAGGCAAGTCCCTGAAGACTGGCAGGGTTGGTGGGGAAGGGCTGGGGGGCACCAGCTGTCCCAGATTCGGAGCAGATCAGGTCCTGCTTACACTGGGGCACCACAGCCTCCCCTGCCACCCCACTTTGACAGCATGGCACCCAGAGCCCCAGCTCATCCCTCTCAAGTCCAATTCTCTCTCCAGCTGCCTGAGGGCCAGGTCTAGGGGAGCCCTGGGGATTGGACAAAACCCAGAGAGCCAGCAGCCTTCCCCTACTGGTCCTCGGCCTGGGAGCCCAGCTGTCTCCTGTCCGTCTCCTAGCAGGACGAAAGGCCCAGAATAGCAAGGTCATGAACACGGGTCTGTCTCCTGGAGGTGGGGCAGAAACTGAGGGGCACAAGGAGGGCAAATGAGGGGCAGGGCTGAGGAGGAGAGGGCCAACCAAGGGGTGTGTGTGGGGATTTCTCCAGACCCTGGCCCTCCCCACTTGGGCAGCTACCATCAAAGCTGGGAAGCTCAGGGGTGCCCGCTGTGGGCTGAAGCCATAGTTCAGTAAGAGCTTGTGTGTGATGGGGGTGGGCGGGAGGGAGTCCTGGGGGGTGTTGCAAACTCGATGCCCACAGTGCAGGCGGGCCCAGTGTGAAGCAGGCTGGTGGAGATGGAGTGGATGCAGCCCCCACACGGCTGGTTCTTCTGAGTTTCAAGAGAAGCCAGGAGTCCGCAGCTTTTGTCTGAAATCCAAAGTCTGGCCAAACAGTCCTGTGCTCGACTGACAGCTCGGCTCTGACAGCTGGGTTCCAAGACTGGAGTGGTAACCTCTCCCAAAGGAGAGGTGCTGTCCAAAGGAGGGGACAGGGCTCTTCATTGCCCAAGTCCCCATGCCCCTGCCTCGCCTGGCTCCAGGAAAGGGGGGCAGGCAGCCTGCCCTGATGAAAGCCTGCCCAACACAGACACCAGGCCCCATTTGCTCCAGAGGGCAGGAAGTCAGACCTGCAGTATCAGAGTGGGAAGGGCCCTTGGAGACCACCAGCCCTGCTGCCTATTCACTGAGCCTGGAGACCCCAAAGTGTGGGCACACAGCCCCGCCACCAGGGGGGGCTTACAATGACGGCACTGCCTTGGACCCTCAGGTCCTGGTTCCCACCAAAGAGCCATCGGGGCAGAGGTGTGAGAAACCCTTTATTTATTGACGTGTCTCCAGTCGGTTTAAAACATCATCCTTGATACAGAACAGACAGCCCTTCCACCTTGCCCTCCCAAGACTGTCGGCATTGTCGCTTCTGTCCAGTCCTTCTGACTCACAGCGCCCCCACCTGGGCAGAGTAGAACTGCAGGCCGTGAGGTCTTCAAGGCTCTGACCTTTGGGAAGCAGCTCGCCAGGGCCTGCTTCCCAGGCGCCTCTGTGTGGGTTGGAACTTGACCAACCACCTCTCGGTGAGAAGTCGAGTGCTTACCCCTCCGCTCCACTAGGCAGTGGTTAAGGGGGCAATGGCCCCACGGCATGGGGCTGACCGTAAGAGCCCCTCAGGGCAGCAATGGAGCACAAGGCCCCTGCCAAGGGGAGGAGGACCTGTAGTGTATGGGGGGTGGGGTGGGGACAGTTCACGGGGCTCTCGAACCTCTCCTTGTACCAACATCTGTCGCCCTCTGGGGCGGAGGGCCACCGGGTGGGCGAGGGCAGGCAGGGTCTCTCACACGAAGGAATACTGGTTATTAATGGCTCTGGGATGGCCCCCTTCTCCGTCGCCCCCTAGCGGTAACTGCTGCAGCTGCACCGTCAGGTTCATGCCCGCATCCCCACCGGAGCCAGCGCTTCCCTGGGCCTCCAGGACGGGCCTCAGGGCCTCTTCCAATTCAGCCACGGGGACCAGCTCAGCCACGGGGACCAGCTCTTCCGGGACCCCTCCACTGCTCGCTTTCTCCTTCTCTTGCCTCTCTTTGGCTGCTGTGGCTGTGGCGGCCGCCACTTCTGGCGCCCTCGGCGCCTCTTCTGCCCCAGGATGTGGGGGATCTGTCCATGAGGGGGGTTCAGAGGGCGGGGGTGGGTCATGGGAGGTGATCGGTTCTGGAGGGGGTGGGGGGAAAAGAGGACAGGCGGATTGTGGAGGGAGGTCAGCTCTGGCAGCGGCCTCCCCTTCACTTGTGCCCCCCCCACCTCCCGCAGCCCTGTGCTAGCTCCCCACAACCCATCTCCTGAACAACCCGCATCCGTGGACGATGGCGCATGGGCGGCATGAGGAGGGCCACACTTACACACAGTCACTCGTTCCGAAGGGCATGAGGGTGGAGGAGGCATCGGGGTGGCACCGCTCTCCCTCGCACACCCCTGCATGGCTCCCAGCCTGCTCCCGGCCTGGGGGGGGGGTAACGAGGGGCAGATGGGACATGGGGGTGGGGGGAGAAATCACACAGGGACATCAGACATCACGGGAGGAGGGTCGGGGGTCATACTGAGCAATCCCCGAGAAGGGCAAGGTGGTGACGAAAGGGCAGAGACAAGGCTGGGGGGACAGGTGGGGAGACATTCGGATGATGGACAAAGAGTCCGATGGAATGGGGATGCATCGCCCCGCTCTGTGCTCCGCCCGGAGCCCCTGCCTGCCTGCCTGCCTGCCAGCGCCCTAATGCAACCTCCTCTCCCCTGTTCTCCCCGGCCAAGCCTCTCCTCCTCACAGCCCCCGCCCCGGCGGCTTTCTGGCACACACACCTCACTCCTTGGGTGCACGGGCACCTCCTCCCCTGCAGACCTGCTCTGCTCACCCTGCTGCCGCTGGGCGGATACGACGTAGCTGACAAGGACAACGTCACTGGAGCCTCCGGACTCCAGAGGGATGGGGTGCACCTGGAAATGCTCGAGCATGTCGAAAATGGACTGGAACCACAGGTGCTGGACCCGACACTGACCTTCCTCGTTCAGCGACAGACGCAGGTGCTGTGGGCAAGACGACTTGGCGCTGAAGCACCCCAGAGAGCAGCTTGGCTTCCAGAGACCCAGGCCCCCCGCCTGCCCCACACCCCACGCTGAGCAGAGCCCAGGCTCCAGGCCCTCACCTTGGCCTTGCCCTGGAAGTTGAAAGTGAGCACGTACTCGCCACGCCTCGTCTCGCTCTGCCGTACTAGGAACACGCCGTGGGAGCCAGCACCCCCCGCCAGCACGAGCTGGGCCGCTTTGAGCCGAGAGAGCATCCCGTGGAACCATGGGTACCCTGAGAGGGGCTGCTCCCCCTCACCTCCCTCCGCCTCCCCCTGGAACAGGAATGACCCTTTAGGAAGGAGAAGGAGGGAAAGCGGAGGTCAGGGAAGACTTCCCATGGCAGGAGGATAAAATCCTTGCACCCCACGTGAGGGATCCCCCTTCCCCTGGGGGCCAAACCCTTAGCGCTCCCGGCTCGAAGAGCAGGTATCCGGGCCTAGAGGCAGGCACCCCACAAACTCTGGTACCTGTGGCTGCTTCCGGAGTGTCCAGGGGAGGGTAAGGGGCCGAAAGGGGATGAAGGGTCCCTGGTGGGGGCCCCTCTTCAATAGGGATGCGGGGGGGCAGCTCGGGGGGGAGTAGTTCCATTGAGTCAAAGTGGGAGGCGGCGATGGAGGCAGAACTGGGGGAGATGGATGCCGAGGGGCGGTCTGAGAGGCCTCCGTATGCCCCTGGGGAAATAAACAAAAAATGGAGGAAAGGGAAGCTGTTAAAACTCAAGAACTAGAGCAGGTCATGCCCCCCTGGGCCCATTTCTCCCCCAGTTCACACCTCTCACTGAGGCCCTGTGCCCCTCGGCTGCAGATACCGCCTGGGGTCCTAGGATCCAGATGTGGCCCTGGCTTTCCCCCATCAACGGCTGAGCCTGCAGGGGTACAGCGCTCTAGTATGGTCACAGGTGAGAGTGACCCATTGTTTGTTTGTTTACAGGACAAAAGGCATCAACTCCAAGAGCCACCAGAAACCCTCTTCCCACCCATCCCTAAGCCAATCTGCTTGCGCTTTACCTGGGTTTGCACGCCCTCCACATGTACCCAGCACCCGACACTGGGACCTCCAGGCCTGCCCTCCAGTAGCCTGCTGCTTCCAGCTCCCTGCCCCACCCCACTGCCCCCAGCCAGTGCTGTCCTGGGAGCTCCCACCTCTCCTCAGTAGGAGCCCCTTTTGGAAGGGGACAGCTATGTGCCCTGTGGGACTGGGGCCTGCCTGCGCAAGGCAGGCAGGATGGGCTGAAGAGAACAGGTCTCTGTCAGGGACGCCGTTCAGGGGCTTCTCAGAAAAGCCACGGCACCTCCCTGGGCCCCAGCAGGCAGTTTGAGAAACAAGGGGCTGGACTTGATGATTCCGGAGGCCCAGTCAAGCTTTGAGGCATGGTCCCTCTGTTCCTTTGCTGACTGCAGCCTGTGTGTGCACGTATGCCTGCGGGCTCAAGTGAATGCACATGCACGTGGAGCACGGAGACTCTCAAAGCACACGACGGAGGGGCCGTGGGCAGGTGCGTGGGGCCAAGCAGGGAGGCCCTTGCCTTTGTGTCTCTGGGCAGGCCGGGCTTGGCCGGGCCACACAGCAGGGTCAAGAGAAAGGCGGGCATCATCTACAAACGCCCAGAGCCATGTGTGTGTTCTGGAAGGCTGGAGAAGAGCACTGGCACCTCCAGCAGGAGCCAGTCTCCACTTTCCTGGAGAAGCTCCAAGGATGGCCAGAGAAGACTGGATGGGAGTTGGCTGGGGGCCACAGGGCGGTGACGGTGATGGGTGGCAAAGGCAGGCTAAGGGCAGCAGGCCAGCCTCTCTGGGAGGGGTGGGACCAGGGGTGGAGGAACTGCAGAGTCTAGCGCCCGGGCCCATGGCCTTGAGGGCGGGGAGTCTCTGGGGTCTGCTTACCCTGTGACAGGCGGTCATGGCTCTCGCTGGGGCCCAGCTGCAGATCCTGGCTGGGCAGGCTCTCAGAGTGATTCAGGCAGGGCAGCTCCAGGCTGTCTGTGGTCTCCCTTGTCAGGAATGCACTTCCAGGGACCAGAGGGAGGGTCATGGGGCGGGGACTGGGAGCAGGGCAGGGTCTGCAGAGACAGGGAGAGCTGTCACTAGGAGAGGGGCGAAAGGCTGCCCCAGCCCACTCCGTGAGCGAAGCCTGCCCTCACCCTGGGCTCAGGCGGTCCTGGAGGTCTGAGAGCCAGGCCTTCACGTGGAGCGCGTCGGTAGTCTCCAAGACATACTCTGCAGGGCCTTCCACCTACAGGCCAAGGCGGGCACAGAGGAGGGCTGCAGGCAGCGCACTTCCGCAGTGAGGCCCTAGCCCTGCCCTCTCTTTCTTGCCCTCTCCGGGAAAGGCTACAGCCCCAGGGACACACCCTCCGAAACTCCCCTAGGTCCCCTGCTCACATGTGCCTCCTGCTTCCTGACCAGCACCAGCACTCTGGGGCAGGGGCACAGCACCTACCTTGACCACAAACGTGTTCTCCCGGTCGGGCATCTCCAGGGCCGTGGTGGTCCGGACGTCGGTGATGGCGGAGCAGGGAATGCTGAGCCGGGGCCGAGACGCCTGGGTCAGGGGAAGATCCAGGCTTGGGGTGTACAGACACCACCATACCTGCCCGCCACTGGCCCCCAAGATTCAGCTTTCCTGTCACCCCTTAAGAGGCAGGCAGAAGCACTGCTCACTCAGCGTCCGCCACCTCCTCCCCACTCCACTGACCCAGAGCAGGAGCTAACCTTCTAAACCAAAAGGAAGCCAGGGCCTGCCCTCCCACCTGCTCCAAGCCTTACCTTGGGCGGCACGAAGAACTCCAGGCGACTTCCTCCTCCGCCTTCTTCGCTCCGCAGCAATAAGCGGCACTTCTGCCACTGGGGTTGCCCTGCTCCCCCGCCTCCCCGGCCCACCCCGGCGGGGTCGGGCCCCGCGTCTTCAGCCCCCATGAAACTCAGCAGCTCCTCTCTCTGCACCAACCCTGCGCCGTCCTTCAGGGCGCCCCCTCCCCGACTGAGTCTCAGCTTCTCAAAGCGATGCGTCCACCGTTCCCCCGGGGACGGGCCGTCACCAACCAGACCCCGGCCAATGGTCCCAGCCCCGCCGGAGGAGTTGGAATTGCTGTTCCCCCCCAAGACCGGGGGCCCAGAGGAGGTCTCCAGGGGCCCGGCCGGGGAGGGCGGGTCCACGGCGCCCCGCCACTGCAGGATGCCGCGCACGGAGCCGCGCACAGAGCGGCCCACGGAGCGCAGCGAGAAGCGCTTCTTCAGCTTCGGCTTCGAGGAGGGGGCCGCGGAGGGGGCGCCTGCGGACCGGATGGGGCAAGCCAGGTCCTCGGAGGATCGTGAAGGGCCCAGCACGGCTAGGGGCCCGCCCACCCTGCAGCTCTCTAGGGACAGGTCATGGGGTGGGATCTCCGAGCCAGGGCTCAAGGGAGCCAGGATGGGTGGCGAGAGGGAGCCTGAGGCCCTGGCCACCTCCGCTTCAAAGTGCTGCAGGAAGAGCTCAGCAAAGCGGCGGGAGAAGGCGGCCTCGGCGCCCGGCCCTGCGTACTGCGGGTGCGAGGCCAGGTAGAGGCGGAACCGGCGGGCGAAATCCAGGGCGGCTGCCCGGGCATGGGACTCACAGAACTCTCGCCAGCTAGGAGGAGGGGGCGGCGGCAGCGGGGGAGGGGAGGGGGACGCCCCGTCCTCCTGGGCAGGGGCACCATTCATGATGGGCCCCAGGAGGCAGAGAGGGGCAGCCTGCGGGGAGGGGCAGCACGGAGGGAGCTGGCTGGAAGACCTGGGGTGAGTGGCAGCAGCTGCAGAAGGAAGAGAGAGGCACACACAGTCACCCTGGGCTGGGACAGCGGGCAGCCCCCACCCGCCCCGGGGACTCCCTGCTCAGACTTCTACTCCTCAGAGCCACAGGGAAGGGGACCATTGGGCCTTGCTTAGTCCCCACTTCCCTCAAGTCCCAGAAACCCACTCCTGCTCAGCACCCACTTTCTCGGGCTTCGGTTCCAGCACCTGATGGAGGGCCAGAAGCACACTGCTCTGAAAAGAAAAGTAAGTGCTCTCTGATCCTCCTTTCTCCAGAGAGACCTCCGCTGAGATAGATTTATCTCTCTCACGTGTGTGTACGTGTGTTGGAAAGAGTTTTAACAACCCTTACAACAGACGAACAAGGTGCAATGGTTAAGTGCTCCAGCTGCTACCCAAAAGGTTGCTGGTTCAAACACACCGGCTGCTCCCAGGGAGATGTGCTCCCATAAACCTTACAGCCTTGGGGCACCCCAAGAGCAGGCTACCCCATCCTAGCACACAGTCAGCGACGTACTAGATGAGGAAAGGGAATCTGAGAAAAGACCCAGAATTCCGAGTCTGGTTTGTTGGCGGCAGATCCCTTGCCCACAGGGAACGGAGGGACCAGCCTTCCCGATGGCCCCTGACTGCCAGCAGAGGAGCTGGTCCCACGGAGCTTTAGCTTGGAGCAAGGCTCCACTGTCTGGAAAGCTAGACTCCGGGCCCAGAGCACGAGCAGCAGAGCCTACATTTTGGGGACCTCTACAGAAGACTGCAGTGCCTGGGGAAGAGATTCCCGTAGGTCCAGCTGGGGCAGGTCTCTCTTGGCATGTTATAGACAGCTGAGGGTCCTAGGGCTGTGCCACTCCCCTGCCTCAAACTGGAGAATGTGCCCTACGGGTGGGTTAGCCCAGTGGTTAAGGTCCTGGGTCCTGGAGTCAGATTTGGGACCAAATCCTAGCTATGCCACCTATTGGCTGTGCGATTGGGAGTAAGTGAGGTCTTCTCTGAGCCCCGGTTTTCTTACCTGTAAAATAGGGAAGAACGAAAGATGCCTACCTCTTAGAACCGTTGCGAGAATGACCGGACTAGAGCAGTGCTTGGGACAGAGTAAGCAAACAGTGCATCACTGCCACCATCCTGACAGGCGCCCTGGGGTGCAGTGGTAAACCACCAGGCTGCTAATAAGGGGTCAGTGGCTGTGCTGCGGGAGAAAGTCCTGGCAGTAGATTTAAGTCTTGGAAACCTTAGGGGGGCAGTTCTACCCTGTTCTGTTTGTTCCCTGAGACGGCATCAACTGGGTGGCAGTGGGGTTGGTTGGTTCAGGGACCATCCTGAAGTTTATGGGGCAGCATAGTATTACAGCTCCAATCTTCTACAAGGGAAGGCAGAGAGAGGAAAAGGTTTACCAGGAACTAGTAACGGGAAAGTGGTGGAGTTGGGCCTGGTATTTACGGTCCTCCGATCTTTTCTTAGTACTCCTCCTCCCCTATGATGTTGGAAGGTGACAGTCCCTGGGCAGGGTGAGGGCCGCTCAGGAAAGTCTCCCCAGATGCTCAGAGACCTGGCTGCAAGTCAGCCACCTCGCCTTGCCTTTCTCCTCAGTCTCCTCAGTCTCGGTCCGACAGAGCAGGCACCAACCACAGCGACAACTCCCAAATCCGGAGAAGAGGCCAAGAGATGCAGGAGTCACGGAGCCCAGAGGAACCCCGCCAAGAGGTGCAGACACAGCAGAGACCAATCTCAGCCAGAGGCTACCGCAGCTCTCACGGGCCCACCTGACCCCTGCACCACCGACAGCCCCAGTGACCTGCCGGCCCGCTGACCCTGCGACTCCCGAACTGGGGACTCAACTGCTCATCTGTCAAGCGGGGCTGACACGTCGCCCCGGTGCACCTGCTACCCCCCGACCCCCTCGGCACGGTCCATTTCCCGAAGAGCTGGGGATGGGGGGGTGGAGGGTGGTTCGGACTCCCTGGGCCTGGTGATCAATCCATTGCGACTCGACTCAATTCCCTGGCCACCCCTCGCCCGACCATTGTGGGGGCCGCGGCCTGCTGGGGACTCTCCCGGCCCGTTGCACCCCCTCTGAGGGGC